ATGCATATCGTGAACAGAATCAGAATGGCGTCGAATAGCCAGTCCATAGTACACAGTGAGCTTGTCAATAAATTTTCCCGTCAGCTCTCCTTTACCACCAAGCATTTTGTTTTTTTTTTACTAAATTACGAAGGCGGGATCCCATACGCTTTTGGACGTGTCCGATGCATTCTTTTTTTATAACTTCTACGTCGTCATAAGGATGAGAATTTATCAGCCCAGTGTACGTCTTCGAATCTCCGTCTCCAATATAGTAAAGGTATAGGACATTATATTTTGCTATTGAACGCTTGAAGATTTCGATAATAGAGTCCACCTCCATTTTTCCCGAGGAGCCTTCGTGATTTGAATTGCAGTTATCTTTGTGTGTTTCGTACCATTCTTCATATTCCGCATCACTTAGTTTATGTTTCCACGATTCACACATTTTACAATACGCACTTTTTACTACAAGATCAAGTACTTTTCCACTGTAGTAGCCTACGATTGATGTAACTCCGAACAACGACGTATATCCTCGCTTCCTCCAGGATCCATCTCCGGAAACTGTTAATTTAGAAGTTGCATCGCCTGCTGCATTAGGTGTGTTTTCAATTTCTTCGCGTACGGCTTTTTTAAATATTACTTCTGCACAAGTTTTGACAGACTCATAAATACTTTTTAAAAGTATTGAATACGTAGTCTCGGTAAGAAACCCTCGGCATGTCCATAAGTCCGCAAAATTTTTGTGCTCCAGCCAATCCTATGCCGAGAACTCGCATAGTGAATATAAATCGACGATTTATTTCATACGAATGTGCCACAAAAGGAGAAGATGGTATCAAATTATCTGCACAAGAGTCACATTTCACAACGACTTTGAAGCCTAGTCCTCTTGTACTTGCAGTTTCAAATTTAATATTTCCATTACACGTTTTGCACTTCACTAAACTTGAAATAGCACCAAACACAGCACTAAAGTTTAAAATGCGATATTCAATATTAGGATCCTGATTCACAGTCATATCAATATTATTTTTCAGTTTCTTTGCAGACGTGCTGAAACTTTCAGTTTCCGATTCGGACAGTTTCGGATTAAAAACATTCTTCCTTTTATTTGGTCGAGATTTCCGAAAATTATCACTGCTTCTTGTTTCTCGCGAACCTTTTTTTCGATTCATTTTTAAATGTAAAATAAAAAAAATCTGCGGAGAGAGGGTCGAACGCGCCAAGCTGCAGACTTGCCGGTCCAAAAACACTAGAAACAGGTGATCCAACTCCGGTAGTGGGGGTACGTAATAGTTTGGTTTCCAGAAATCGGCTGAAAAGTCATGAATCGTAGTAGCCTTCTGCGCATATTACCTACAGGTGGTAATTCAAAAAATAGATATTCATTTTATCCATGCATATATGTATATACAAATCAATATGTATCAGTCTCTTTTAACGCTCATATCTCAATCAATTTTGTTGGAATCGACTTGAAATTTTCAGGACATACTCTCAGATACTTATGCTTCAAAAAAATGCAATAAAAGAAAAATCGATTTTTCAAAGTTGCAAGTGGGGGTAACCCCTTAAGTCGATTTTCTATTTAAAAATTATATTAATTATTTTTGGAGTCCTCTGCGGCGAACAATAAAGACTTACAAAAAATCGCATTTTTTACAAAAAAATTGACATAAATTGTTTATAAAAAAATCTTCTTCATTAATATTAAAAATCATGTGTACTTCACTAGATAGGTTAACTAAGAATGTACAGTTAAATTTTCAAGTCAATCGGACGAAAACTCTATGAATTCTACTGCTCGCTGTTTTACAGAACATGGTTTAGAGAAAAACGCGTTTGAAATTAAAATTGTCTAGTTTTACATTTCGGAATTGCTCCAGAAAAATTAATTTTAAGAACATTTCCAGTTGTTTTCATGCTAAAACATTATTGATTATTACTTTTAGGGTGTTGTTAGAGAAAACTGCTCTTTGTATATTAATTTTCTTAGAGTTTAGATGTAAAACTATCTGCATGGATTTCCGTATGGATATCAACTGACCTTTTTAAATTTTAAGTAAACGGAAAAATATATACATATAAAAATATTATTTTATGCATTTTTATATTTTACTTTAAAGTAATTTTCATTTTCTATTGAAATAAAATTAAAAAATGTATTCATCTATAAATGTCCAAATAAACAGAGAAGCAAAAATTAAAAAATAGAGTATTATGATTCAGGCCTCAGGCCAAGTAATACTTTTTTGTTTAAAGTTTTTTGCAAAACAAGTTATTTAACAATTTGTTATTAAAAAATAGTTACTTTTTAAAAAACTAATAACGCTAATCGACTTTACTCGAAAAATTACTACATAAACATATATGATTATTTTTTTTAACTAATATTGTTAAAAAATTGTTATAAACAATTGGAATGTACTCGTTATAACCTGTTACTTGAAACGTGGTCAATTGATTTTTTCTAGAAGAAAATTAATAAAATTGTATCACCAGTTAAATACGTACTTGTAAAGAATGTCAGTGAGTAAACTGAAAGCTTGATACTAATAAAGCTGTATTAACATCGTTTCTTTTACAAATATACGAACAGGCCGGTACTAAACTTGTCGATTGAAATATCCAACACGGTACCAAAGTATTTTTGTATAAAATTACGTATATTGCTAATAAAATTCAGCATAAAGTAATTAACTTCATTATACAAGCTCATAGAATAGATATTTTCATGTTTTTATAAAAAATTGATTTAATTTACAGTTTTCTAACACAAATAGATTAAAAAGTTAAACAGTGTTTTACATCTACTCAACACACACAAAATTATTTTCTTTTCTATTTCATAATCATAAAAATTAAATCAAGTATGTTTATTTTTAATCGCATACATTATTAGGATATAGATCAATAAGTTGAACTAATAACAATTGTAAAACATTTTTACCGTATATCAAAAATCTTGATTTTTCAACTTGTGTTGTTTCTGCACCAAGTAATGTGCTTAATTTTCTTTTACTAATTACGTTAAATCTTTAACTTTATTTCATAAGCATTTTTTTAGATGAATATATTATGTGGCAAGCACGTAAAGCAGTACTTTTTAGGTGAGGATGTCTTTAGTGACGTAGGTGAGACAAAGGCGAAATGGAAGCGAGTCGGAGTCAAGCCGAAGTCGAGCCAAAGTTGCACAGACAGCGTGTATTAAAAGCATCCGAACATAGAAATTGCTACGTGCGAGCTGCATACGCTATTTTTTTGCCATTGATATAAAAAAGTGAACCTCTCAGTCTTAATCTTTCAATTATTCAATCTTTTAAGGGGAGGGGGTAGGGTCTAACGGCTGAAAAAAAGCATCTTTTTTGTGAATTTTTATTGAAGAAATGGTAAAAGTTTATATGTTAAATTTTTTTGCATATTATTAGTTAGTATTTGAAGAAGATTTTGTAAAATTTTTGTTTAAAAATATTAAGAATTATGCCGCTGACGGAGCATTTTCCAAAACGCTTTATGAAAAACATAATTTGCGGTGAACATCATAATTAATTAAAACATTAACGAAATTCAAAAACTAAAGTGAATTTGCTTAGAAGAATAATTTTGCCCGACCCAAACGTTTTCCTTTTTGAAAATTTTTGAATTTTGAATTTTTTGCGACTAAATAAAGCAAAAAACGCTATTTTCACTCAAAAAATCCGCCATTTTGTTGCTATATCTTGGAAAAAATAAATAAATAAACAAAAGAAAAACGTTGGGATCGGGTATTTTATGTGTTAAAAAAGTATGCCAAGTTTTATGAAGATTGGTGCAGTAGTTTTTGAGTTATGATGTTCACCGACTTTGAAAATGGTCGTTTTGAGAAAAACGCGATTAAAGTTTAGTATTCGCTGGACAAAATACAACTAATAAGTTGTGATTTATTTTATTCTATGCCGTTATATTTATTTACATTAATATTTTCAGTTTTAAACATGGAACCAATTAGAGGCAATCAACCTCCATATATTGATTCGGATGATGAAACAAGTCAAGATTCAGAAGATGAAAACCAAATGAATGATGTTGAAGATTTGCCTGACGATCCTGAGAAAGAAATAATAGGAAAATATCTTTTATATTTAAGGAGCTCTACTCGTGCAACCAATGATGATGTTATTAATATTTTAATCCAACTACAAGATATAGTTCAATGGTATGTTGATCGCAGCCTAAATGAAATTGAAACAAAACTTGAAGATCATAACATCCACTTAAGAGACTATATTAATATTGATGAAATAAGTGAAAGCATTAATTGCAGCCAAGGACTTGACTCTATTTACAAACAAGACAAGTATTTCCAGAAAAAATTCAATGTTGTACAGCCGAAAAGAATTGAATTGGGTGAAAGGTTTGCTTCTTACGGAACAGCTTCAGTGGACGGAAATCAACCAGTAAGGATAAAAAGGGATGAATTTATTCATATTCCAATCACTGAAACTCTTCCTAGATGGCTACAAAACGATTCTTATGCTAACGTTACAAATTTACCGAGAAGACGTGAGGATGGAATACTGGAAACGTACATGGATGGAAAGCATATTCAAGAACATCCTTACAGAAACCAGAGACCAAATTGCAAACTTTTGAAATTATACTACGATGAAGTTGATATGTGGGATGCAGTCGGTAGCAAATCATCATCTATTAATAAGCTGGGAATGTTTTACTGGGTAGATGAAGATATAAAATCTGAACATAAATCACAATTGAAATTTATAAATTTGGCTGGTATTGTATCGAATCCTCATTTAAAAACATATGGGATGAATTCAGTTTTGAATCACATTGTGAACGATATTAAGAAATTGGAAGAAGGTATTCAATTACCAAATGGTGACATGGTTTATGGAACTGTTTCAGTAATATTTGGTGACAACCTAGCTGTATATCAATTGTGTGGTTTTAGGGAATCATTTATTGCGCGCCACCCTTGCAGAACATGTTAAGCAACATTGACTGAAGTGAGAGATATGTGTAGAGAAAATCAGACACTGCTTCGTACGCAAGAAGAACATGATCGTCAAGTAGACCAAATTGAAAATGCTGTTGGGCGGAGAAAAGATGAATTAAGAACGGGGTACGGTATTAATAGAAAAACCGCCTTGACTTTAATAGAAGGATTTCATCCTTTACTGTCCACTCCACCAGACTTAGTTCACGATGATTGGTTGGGAATTTGTGTTCGAACCACCAAACTGTTTCTAAGAGAAATTTGTTTTACTTTACAATTAATTTCTCTTGACGATCTAAATGGTAGAATAACAGATTTTGATTACGGATACACAGAAAAATCTGAAAAACCATCACCAATCAGTCAAAAGCATGTAATAGATATGAATGAAGGATTTAAGCAGACAGCGGCACAGATGGCACAATTAGTTACAATGTTGCCATTAATCATTTCTGATAAAGTTCCTGAAGGATTGCTTGCGTTAGAGAATTATTTGAAAATGATTGAATATATTCTTATTTCACATGCCGATACAATTAATTCCTCGATATTAGACTATTTGAGTAGATGCATTTCAGGATATCTGGAAACATTTGAAGCAGCCTACAATGAACATCTCACTCCCAAACAGCATTTCTTATTACATAGAGTAGCTGCAATTTTAAGATATGGGCCTTTACAGAATTATAAAACGATGAGAGCAGAAGCTTTTCATCAAGTTTCTAAACGGATGGCTCAATGTCTACTCACGTATAAAAATCTACCACTGACATTAGCAAAAAAACACCAGTTGCGTGAAGCATTTATATTACAAGGAGATTTGGGAAGAGAAATGACTAAAGGTCCTTCAAAGTGGGTTCCTATCGATGCAATTATTTATCAAGATTTATTTCCTGATGTAAGACGTTTGCAAATTGCAAATTGGGTAATGATAAATGGAATTAAATATGTTCCGTTGAAATGCTTTTTAGCTACAGGGTACAGTGAAGAAAATCTACCTGAATTCGTAGTCTTGCATGCCATTGTTTGGAGAAACGAGAATCCTATTTTCGTTTGTCGAACAGTTACAACTGTTGAGCACAATATGATTTTAATGTCCTATGAAGTTAAAATTAATGAACAATATGTTTCTTTAACATATAATGATTTATTGACGCCAGATGTATTTCATGGACACCGTTGGATTAACAAACAATATATCATTATAAAAAAAGCGCTTGGAAATTTGCATTAAATTGCTGTAAGTAAAAGAAAAATACTTAGTTTACATTTATCTTTGTTGTAAATTTATAACATAATTTATTTTTCAGATTCTGCTCTTAATGAACGGCCGTAACTTTCTTCATTTATTGGCGTGGAAGAATTTGAACCAAAAAATTATTCAGAACCAACCCAGTAAAAAAAAACTAATTCAAACGGATTAAAATGAATTAAGATTTTTGCTAGAAAGCGGGATTCATTCAAGCTCTTTGTATATTCGATTGAATTCGATTCAATTTGCCTGAAATTGTGCAAACGAATTCGCATTCGTAAGAAATGACCAAGGCATGCATTGAATTCGTGCTGACGAATTGAAAAAAATTAAAGGCACTAAAACTTGTCCATTGAACTAGTATGAATAGAAGGTTTAGAAGTTCAATACAGTTTGACGAATTCAGGAAAATTGCAACATAGCTCCAATTCGTATTTGTCACAAAGCGTGATTCACTGAAACTCTTTGTGAATTCTTTTTAATTTATTTCAATTAGTTTTTGTTTACTGGGGATTAAAACTGAAAAGATCCTTATGAAATGTTTGAACAAGTAATACTAATTTTCGAATAAAGTTAAACACAATATTTCAATATCAATAACTGTAGTTTAACATTAGTATGAATGGGTTGGACTGTATTAGAACACAGCCCCACAAAAAAAAGTGTCGTGCGCGGCAGACCAGACTAGTCATTTCCTATGTATTTTGACGCGCTAAAGACGAATCCGAAGTCCGTTTTGCTCCATCACGTCAGGATTTTTTTCTAACCTCAAAAAATCTGTCGGATTTTGAGAGGTAGGCTATTTTTTCTTAAATTAATGGATTTACTTCAAACTTGGTAACTAGGGGTTTTTTGGGTCGCTGATAACAAATTTGAAGTTAGATTTTCAAAATTCAAAATGGCGGCTCCAATATGGCGGACGAATTTTTTAAAAGTTAATGGATTTACTTCAAACTTGGTAACTAGGGGTTTTTTGGGTCGCTGATGACGAATTTGAAGTTAGATTTTCAAAATTGAAAATGGCGGATCCAATATGGCGGACAAATTTTTTAAAAATTAATAGATTTGCTTCAAACTTGGTATCTAGGGGTTTTTTTTGGGTCGCTGATTACGAATTTGAAGTTAGATTTTCAAAATTTGAAATGTTGGCTCCAATATGGGGGACGAATTTTTTAACTATTGATGGATTTACTTCGAAGTTGGTATCTAGGGGTTTTTTGGGTCACTGATTACGAATCTATAGTCAGACTTTCACATTTTGAACCCCCTGCACGGAAAAAATGTCCGTGCACCGCTTGTCTCACTTCCCACAGGTCTCCTCAGAGGTGGGCAGGTTATTCTAAAATGTAACGCTACAAACTTGGTGGGGAGTTGTTCCAATTGACTTCCAGATTCCAAATTTTCAAATCGATAAATCGTACCTGCTCCTCTTTTCGAATTATCTCTTATACAGATAGTCGGAAACTTGAAAAATTTATTATCTTAATGTGGAAGCTTTGATTCAGAAGACTGCTGATTTTTCGTTGTTAAAAATTTTTTAGACAAAGATTTTATAGATAATTATGTTCATGATTTTAAGAAAAGTGGGGGTAGGGGACAGTGGGTCAAGACGGGGTACTTACGGTTTAAAGCGCAAAAAAACGAAAATTATCGAATATATATTTTATTATTTTATTTAATAACCATCTTTGGGAATCAGTCTTTAGTAATAAAGGCGTACAAAGGCCATCTGTTTCTTAAAAAATCATAAAATTAATAATGTAGAAAAAATTGCAAATCTTCCTATCTTGCCCCACCGGCGCGGTACTAAAAAAGCAACCTATTTCTGTCAACAAATTTTACAAGTATAGGTTGCATCTTTATCTTCGTCATCGACACCAGCACAACTGCACAAAGCCCATTGGCCACAGACAGAACAAGCAGCCCAGCCTTCATTTGAGTCTAAATAATAACCATTACAATTTATAGAGACAAGGTGTATTTTCCACTTTACCATCGCTAATTATTGATTTAACATAACAAGCTTTTTTCTTTTTGGTCACTCTTATTTTATTCAGTCTTGATTTAAGTAGTTTTCTTAACTTCCCTTATTTCTCTTTTCTTTTGCTTCATTTGTGTACCCCGTCTTGCCCCAATCTTCCCTACCCTATCTTGCCCGCACCTACGAAATTGAATAAAATGATTAATTACTACAATTTACGATTCAACAAAGGAAAAAACATGCTTCCCTTCTTCTGTAACCCTTGCCAGTTATAAAAAATTTTATATAGTTCATTAACTGTTATTATTAAATAATAGACACCTCCTAAAAAAGTGAAAAATTCCCAAGAAAATCGTTGAAAACAGTTTTTTTAGTAAAACAGATAAAAGATTTGTTCTCATGGCTTTTAGGTTTTGTAAACAAGAAACTATCGTCTCGGTGCAGTATTATGTAAAATATAATCGCGATTGGTTAATTCGTTTGTTAAATAAGGCCGGTACCCCGTATTACCCCACTCTCCCTTATAAGTCCCAAAAATCACTTTTAGTTTTTGTAAATACACCTGTTTTAAGAAATGATTGAATTGGTTTAAAATTTGTTACTCAGGGGTTTCGGGGTCGCTGATTACGAATATAATGTCAAAATAAAAAAATCTGTCGACAGATTCCTAATCCGCGACCCCGAAACCCCTCGAGTAACGAGTTTTAGGCAAATCAAATCGATTTTTAAAAGTCGATCGCCATATTATATCCAACATTTTGAGTTTTGAAAATCTGACGTCATATTCGTAATCAGCGATTCCGAAAACGCCCGAGTAACAAATTCTTAGAGAATCCAATCACTTTTTTAAAAACTACTAAAAAATGATTTTTGGGTATTTTACCCCCAATTTTTTTCAAAATCCTGACGTGATGGAAGGTTTTAGTTAAATGTTAATTTGGATTTAGCGCACCAAAAGCTACGGTAAATGACTTCTCGATCTCAGACAACGGAAATTTTTATTTTTTTGCAGGCTTCTGAAATTATATATATATTCATATATATATATATATAGCATTTTACCATGTGACAGACGTGTCCAAATTCAAAAAATCAAAAAGTTTATTGAAGAAGAGACAATTCGGAACCATAATTATCTATAAAATCTTTGTCTAAAAAATTTTTAGTAACGAAAAATCAGCAGTCTCCTGAATCAAAGCTTCCACATTAAGATAATAAATTTTTCAAGTTTCCGACTATCTGTACAAGAGATAATTCGAAAAGAGGATCAGGTACGATTTATCGGTTTGAAAATTTGGAATCTGGAAGTCATTTGGAACAACTCCCCATCAAGTTTGTAGCGTTACATTTTAGAATAACCTGCCCACCTCTGAGGAGACCTGTGTTCCAGTGCAGTTGATGCAGAGGTTGTCCGATGGAAGTGCGTTTGCTGTCTCTAAAAAGGGCCGTATATGATCCCTTTTCAAAGTGTAAGATTTGTACTGTAATTAAGGACCATTGGTGCACATATAGAGATAAACAGTGCACAGAAATTTTTTCCGTTTGGCTGCTCCGAAAGATTTTTTGGTAGAGTGTTGTGTAGCGGGAACTGTAATTTTTTTTTTGTAATGAACTACTCTCAAGAACTGACAGTTGGGTCTCATTGCATCATAGAGATCAATTCGGCAAATGCACAAAACTTTTTTCATTGAGGTAATAATGTGACAATAAGATGTAAAAGTTAAATAATAAATTTTTAAGCAACGAGATAAAAAGGAACTTTAATATCCTCTATCCTTCACTATCTTATTCCTTAAAAATACATTGTTTACCTTGTACGCTTTGCACTTTTATTGTGTTTCAGCACAATACTAATCCTGCTGCTTCGATAAATGTAGTAGGCGATGACAACTGCCCCGAAAGGGGATGTGTAGAATGATTCGCTTCCTGTTTATCGAAGTAACAAAGCCAGCGTAGGCGCGCTGCCCTGCAGGGGGACGTTAGGGTGTGAGGATGATGCCGTAGTATGTCCGACGACGAGTTGACTTTGTCCTCGTCAAAGTCGGAAAGCTCTCATACTTAGGCCTGGGGAGGTATGAGGGTTATCACCCCTAGGACGGCGGACTCACCTGCGATCGGGACAGGATCCCTAACGTGCAGGTTTTCACATAAATCATGGCTTCTCAAAATCAAAACAATAATAAAACTCCAAAGGCTTCAAAACTTAATTTTGCAGTAACAACGTCGGAACACTTATGCGACAGCAATGCAGATGCATTTTGTTACATATGTGGACAATTCGATGTCCCCAAAAATCGTAAATCAATAAATGAAAATATCAAACAGATCTACAAAGATTATTTTGATCTTGAGATAACCAATCAGGATAAAAATTTTGTTCCACACAAAATTTGTAGTTCCTGTTACACAATGTTAACTCGTTGGAATCATAAAAAAGAGGATAAACTAAAGTTTATAAAGCCAACTTTGTGGGAAAAACCATTAAATCAAAAAGATTGTTATTTTTGCAACACCAATGTGCAAGGATATAATAACAAAAATAAAAAGAACATATTGTATGCTAATGTCCCCACTGTAAAAAAAACCAGAAATTTCATGCAATCCACCTTCTTCTCCCAAAACCTTGGAAATTGACAGTTCAACTAAAGATGTTCTAGATTTTGAAAATAAAGACATGAGAACCGATGATGAGGACGACTATTACCTTCCGTATGATGAACAGGAGATAAAGATTCGACAAACGTTTAACCAAGAAGAACTTAGCAATCTCATTAGAGATTTAAAATTGCCGAAGGATTGTGCAGAACACCTAGAATCAGTGTTGAAGAAGAAAAACTTGTTATCAAAAGGCACAACAGCTAGCTTTTATCGAGACAGAGAAAAAGAATTCCGACAATATTTTACAAAAGATGAAAATCCGTCGTTGGTATATTGCTCAGATGTTGTCGGACTCATGAATAAATTAAAAACAAATATATACAAAGATGAAAATTGGAGACTA